CTCGATCTAGATGCAGATAATGCTTTGCAAACAATGCCTTTTTGTTATGCTGATATTGAGGTTGAGTCTGGTCCAACAAAAGACAACAGGTTGCAACAGCGTAGAGGTTGGGTAGCAGACATGATTGACATTGCGGGACAGGCTAAGGAGGAGGGTGCTGAACCAGAGTTGTGTGAATCAGACATTGTGATACCAAATGATCTAGCCCAGTTACAGAGGCAAGACCCAACTTTAGCCACGTGTTTTGATCAGGTTAAGCAGAATGATGACACTGATGTTTTACTTGATGAGCCTTTTGTGTTGAAACATGGACTCCTGTATAAGCAGACTAAGGGGGGAGATCTTCAGCTTGTTGTACCTAAAGCACAAAGAAGTGAGGTACTGCAGTTAGGTCATTCCATTCCATGGTCCGGTCATCTAGGGTTTGCGAAGACATGTCTGAGAATCTCTAAAAGATTTTATTGGCCTAGAATGTACACAAACATTAAAGAATACTGCCAGACATGCCCTGAATGCCAGCTCGCTACTGGCCGGATTCCTGCATACGCCCCACTAGTACCTTTGCCTGTAATTGATGTGCCTTTTGAGAGAATAGGAGTAGATGTTATTGGTCCACTTGAGGGGAGTCAGGCAGGAAACCGGTTTATTCTAGTAATCTCAGATTATGCCACAAGATATCCTGAAGCATATCCATTGAGAGATGTTACTGCTAAGCAGATAGCTTCAGCTTTGTTGAAATTCTTTTCCCAAGTTGGCATACCAAAAGAGTTTTTATCAGACCAAGGCACTAACTTTATGAGTCGCACACTGCAGCAAGTTTATCAGCTTTTGGGCATTAAGAGTGTGAGAACAACCCCATATCACCCTCAGACTGATGGTCTTGTTGAAATGTTCAATCAGACTCTAAAGAATATGTTAAAAAAGTTTGTTTCAGACTCGGGCAAAGACTGGGATAAATGGCTGCCATACCTCCTGTTCGCCTACCAGGAAGTACACCAGGTTTCAACAGGATTCTCGCCGTTTGAATTGCTGTGCGCCCACCAAGTGAGAGGTCCTCTAGATGTCCTGAAAGAGAGGCTGCGGACAGCCCAAAGACAAAGAACATCCTCACTTATGTGCTGAAAATGAGGGAGAAACGGCAACAGAGCACTGCCTTGGCACGAGAAAACCTGATAAGATCACAAGTACAGCAGAAACACTGGTACGACAAAACAGCTAGATCACAACGCTTTGAACGTGGCGAAGAAGTTCTGTTATTGCTTCCAACATCTGAGAATAAGCTTTTGACGAAGTGGCAAGGCCCGTACCAGATAAAGAATAAGGTAGGTCCAGTGACCTATCAGATTGAAATCCCCTCACAAAATCCTCCTCTGCAAACATTTCATGTGAACATGCTGAAGAAATGGCATCCGCAACATTCTCCTGGCAAAACAGAAAAGAGCAATGACATGGCTATGCTGGTGAGAGCAGTAGAGTGTGAAGAGGAAGTGGAAGAACAATATTTACCGACCTGTTGCAGTGACAGTGAATTACATTTTCAGCACCTGAGTGAAGAACAAAGACATCAGCTCCAGGAATGTAAACCTGATCAGTTGTTCATGGATACCCCTGGCAGGACAGATTTAGTCGACAATGCTATCATCCTCAAGGACCCCAAACCTGTCCGGCAACCAGTGTATCGTGTGCCAAAGAAACTTCTATCTGTTATGAAACAGGAATTGCAGACCATGAAACAACTGGGAGTTATTGAGCCATCATCAAGTGAGTGGAGCAGTCCCATAGTGCTGGTACCGAAGAAAGATGGTACCCTGCGGTTCTGCTTAGATTTCAGGAAGTTGAACACCATTAGTAAATTTGATCCTTATCCAATGCCACGGGTGGATGAACTGGTGGAGAGACTAGGGAGAGCGAATTACCTGAGCATGCTGGATCTCTGCAAGGGATACTGGCAGGTGCCGCTGAATCCAGCATGTAAGGAGTTTACTGCCTTCAGAACCCCTTTTGGTCACTTCCAGCTCCGGGTCCTTCCTTTTGGGCTCCATGGGGCTGCGGCCACATTGCAAAGGATGATGGATCAAGTCCTCCGTGGTACAGAGGACTACGCTGCAGCTTACCTTGATGACATTATAATCTTCAGCCAAAGCTGGGAAGAGCATCTGGAGCACCTTAAGGAAGTTCTGACTCGCATTAAGGCTGCAGGACTAACCATTCACCCAGATAAATGTGCCCTCACCAAACCAGAAACCCAATACCTTGGTTTTGTACTGGGTCACGGTGTGATCTGACCTCAGGTGGGGAAGGTGGAGGCCATTAAAGGAGAAGGGCAACCTGAGACAAAGAAACAGGTTAGAGCTTTTCTTGGGCTTGTTGGTTGGTACAGGATATTTATTCCAAATTTCTCCGCCAGGGCAATGGCCCTAACAATTTTGACAAAAAAGAGCCAGTCCAACAAGGTAGTATGGACTGAGGACTGTGAAAAAGCCTTCAATGACTTAAAGAATGCATAATGTCCGGAGCTAGTTCTTCAAAATCCTGATTTTGAGAAAATGTTTACAGTGCAGACTGATGCCTCACAACATGGTATTGGATTGGTGCGGTTCTGCTTCAAGAGGAACAAGGTCAACCTGGCTCCCTTACAGAAAGACAGAAATTTCTTAAAGTAAATTAGAAGTTCATAAAAGCTTCTTAAAAGCAATTCTTGAACAAAGAATTTCTCAAATATTTTCTTAAAAAACGTCCTTTTCTTTTCTTATGAAGAAAATAACAGACTTTGGTGTTACCTGACTGTATGGAGGTTATTGCCAAAGATATGCTGATCAACTAAAAGAAAAACACTTGGCAGGCAGTGTTTCCATTGTGACTGGCTGGATGAGACGTTGCGTTTTATAGTCTGCTGTGTATTTTAAATATTAATTTTTAATGTTGTTTACATTTGCACTTTGTTTTTTTGTCCTCTCTTTACTGTGCTGATTCAGTGCTGAATATTGCTGAAAATTATGCCGTAATTATATGCTTGAATTTAAAAAGATTGTTCTTATGCTCAATTACAAAAAATTAATTCATAAAACATACCCTTTGTAGATTTACAGTCAGAAAAGTTGGAGGTTATACTATGATTTTTAAGAAGATCCTCTTCAAGAGCTTAAATTCATCTTCAGAACATTCTTTTTTCTTAAAGGGGTCATATGATGCGATTTCAATTATTCCTTTCTCTCCACCCACCAACGTGTGATTTTGAGGTCAATACTACAAAAGACGCTTGTCAATCATCAGTTCTAGTGGCGTAGATGGTAAGGCACATGCTTTTTGACGCAATTGACCCGAGATTGAACCCGCCTTTTGCCGAACTTTTTTTTCTCCCTTTTCAAATCTTATATCACATCAGAAAGGCATTTATTTTCACAAAAAATTAAGGAAATAATCAAAAAGTTGGAAATAAAGTATCGGTTAGGGTAGGTGTAGGGAGGGTTTTAATGTCCCAGTAAGGTGGCATCCATTTAATAATATGAATTAAAATTATAATTTACACTCAATACGTTATTATTGCGTACTGTTTTATAATGTACTACAATACTGAGGTGCAGATAATTGTCACTATTTGTAAATAAGTAGTATAAATAACAGAAAACCTTGCTATTTTAACGTAGCGTAAATAGAATCTATAGCTATTTGCACTTAGTGTAAATAGCATATCATTAAAAAATACTGCTATTTTCACTTAGTGTAAATAGAATCCATTGCTATTTGCACTTAGTGTAAATAGCATACATAGCATCTATATCACTAATAAAACATGCTATTTTCACTTCGCCGCTGCCTATTTATTATGTATATATAAATACACACAATTAAATAGATTTCATTGCTATTTGCACTTAGTGTAAATAGCATCCATCGCTATTTGCATTTAGTGTAAATAGCATCTATCGCTAAGAAAATATGCTATTTTCACTTAGGGCAAATAGCTGCTGCCAAAATTTAATTCTTAAGAATGTTTCTTGAATCTGGCCCCAGTTCCTCAGTGCAGACCATTTTTTTTCATGTATTATTAACATTGCAACATTGACTAGTTTGTGGTGAGATAGGTTGATTAAGCTGTAGTAGCTTTGAAAAATCTAATCATTTAGAGTAAGAACACTCTTAGTCAAAGACATTTGTGAGTAAAAGTTTGCACTATTCCAAATCTATTTCTCAAAACACCAGATTTATAATAGACTTCAAGGCGTTTACACATGACTTCTCATGGATATTAAGTGTCTCTGCAGAGAAAAAGAAAGAAATACTACTACAAAGCGACAAAGTGTGAAAGCAAGTGTGCAATAATAACATCTGTCGGAGGTTAGCTCTCCATCACATGAAATCTGCAGTTCACCCCATGTTTGTACATCTAACACTTTCCTACCACCTCATTCCTCAGTTTAATTAGTCAGACTGATTATTTTAGAACTGTCTCAATATGAGTTCATTTTTACCACGGCATGAAAAATAGCTTTAATAGAACCACAATTCATGAACGTAAACATAAATAGATCTTAATTCAAATGAAGCATTGCTTTTTCTTCAAGCAGTTTTATGAGGTGAACAAAAAGTAGGGTTGCCAGATTCAAATGAAGTTAAGTAAGCTGCAAAAAAGTGTTGACATAGCATATTATGTGGTATTTTGCAGTGCACAAAGAGATGATTGTGAATGTTTTAAATCATGTTTATAGGTTTGTTATGAAAGCAAAATGAGAGCTAAAGCACCACTTTGGCATCACGCTTCAATGTCCCATCTATTTGTAAGCTGTTTTCTCTGTCACTATGGATATTTGGTGGAAGTGTTTCTTTTACTTCATTTCAGGAGAGGAATTGGCTTTCAGTTCACATTTCAGCCTTAAACATCCCTGAGCAAATTTATCGAGTAATAAACTGGACTTGTCTCTAGGAACTCCATCCATTTCTTTAAAACTTTTGAACTGAAATGGAAAATACAAAATTTGCACACAGGCCACGACCCTTACCTGTGCACTCATGTTGAAGTCCTTTTCCGTAATATCCTTTCTCACACACACAATCGTACTGTCCTGTATGTGTACCGCATTTACAGCTGGCCATTATGTCACAACAGTCCTTTCCCTCTTCGCACAATGATGAACACTGGGCCAGATCCTCCTGAATATAACTTCCAGTTGGAAGATCTGGAAGAGAAAATGGCAATGAATATCAGACTGCACTTTTCTCTGATGCAAAAGAAAATAATTTTGGCCTCATAATTCATCTATTTCTTCATGTCTAACTGAACTCCAAGCGGCTCTGGAAAAGTAAGCATAGATGCGTTTGTTTAATGTGTGTTTCGGTATTGGCATCTTCTGCATAACTAACTATAAAAACCTTGGCTTTGGCAGGACCATTTTGTCGCCCTAAATACAAACAAATGCATTGCTCCAGATGTTGGCATACACAGACTGGCTATGCAAGCTGAAGGAGTCTGCACTATCTTCTCTCTGGGTTTAGCGTAGGTGGGTGATGTCATCATGAAGAAAGCGGTCTTTTGAGTTCATGTGGCTGACTGAGTTCAGAGCTCTGATAAGAAGAATCTGCTATAGACAGACAGCCAAAGGAAATAATAACACTGAATTATTTTTGTACCAGTTTTCTTTTACGCTGGGATTAACAGAGGCTCATATTTGTCAGGCTCAAGGAAAAATGAGCTGGATTGGCCTTTGATTTCCCTTAACAAACATTCACCATGGTAACCATAGTTTCTGTTAAAATATCACAGCAAATGCAATTATTACAGTAAAACAGCTTGGTATAGTCACCACTGACATCAAAATAATGTTTGTTATGCTGTTAACTATGGTATTTAGAGGAGACTATGGTTATGGTAAATTTGAGTAAAGCTTGGGTTTATATGAAGAAAGACACGAGAATTCTGCATCATACTTTATAGACATACATATACCTTTTTTTACAATGAATCTTTGGTTAACGCCTTTTAAAACTCTCCTTAAAGTCCAACTTTAACTCTTGTTTACGTAATGTTTAACACCACCATTTTTGGCAGGGTTTTTTAGCACTACTTTAATAGATGTGCCAAAGTATTACAGTGTGAAACCAAGCGGTGCTAAAATGTTCCCGTGAGTTGTATGGCAACAGAAAACCGGGAATAATCTTTTACTAACCTAATTATTTTTATACAGTCCAGAAACTTTGACGCTGTTAGTGTACATCCCTGAGAGAAACTGTTAACATGTCGAATAGTGACAGCAAACGTCTTTCATTCATTCATTCATTTGAAAAAAACAACAACAACAACAACAACAAAAAAACATCAACACAAAATACAACCAGTGGAAATTTGGAACATTTCCAAACCAACAAAGATTAGGCTAGTAAAGCGGTTACCGATGCATCCGGGTTGCGTACTGGTCACGTGCTATATTTGTCCAATCAATATATCTGCCTCATAAATATGCAAATAAGAACTTTCACAAATCGTTTACGACAGGAAATCGACTGTGTGTGAACGACTAGTCAGGATTAATTATGAACCATGAAGTAAATATGAACAAAGTGAATCGTGATACAAGACAAGGATATAAGACTAATGATGACCCAATCTTAACTATTACAAGTATGAAAAGCTCATATTCTGTATTCTCACCTTCGTGAAGGGCGCGTCGAGCCAGCGCTTCAAACTCAGCGAAGTTGTGCACTAAGTAGCAGTGCTGATCCTTGGGGTGCGAGGCCATGTCGTGTAGCTCGCGTATGTTCCCCTGCCAGATGCCCAGCGTGAAAATCTCCACGCCTCTCTCCCTCAGCGCCGCCGCCGCCGGCCGCGGGTCTCCGCCGTTTGAGTAACCGTCAGTGATGAGGAAGATCGCCTTCGTGGCGTTCTCACGCGACTGCCTCAGAATTTGCTGTGAGTAAAAAAAAAAGTACATGAAACATTGAACCGCAATGTGTCTAAGTTCATTTTGGTATAACTCAAAGTACAGAGTAGACAGGGATGGTAATTTTATGTCCTTACTAGGCTATAGAAAAACACCCATAGGCCTATAAATCAAAGCATTGCCTGCTATATTACTATAATATAAATGATTTATGATTTTCACTTTGTCTTGATAATTCAGCATGGATGACACACTTTAATTATTTCATGAGTAAGTTACAAATGCTTGAAAGTATTAATTTCTTTATGTAAAGAACAGATTGAAATTTCTCGTTGAGAAAATCAGTAAGTTAAACTCGTGAACTGGATCAGTCTGCGTGAACGAATCATGCAGACTGGTATGTGAGCTTAATCAACAGATTAATTTAAAAAAATCCGATTCAAAAGAAAGATTCATTCATACTCATGAACAGCCCAAGGAGAACTTGGTTGGATGTAAAGATATTCAGCCTAGCTATTGTATGGCTTCAGAAGAACATAATACACAAGGTGTAATGATCATTTTTGTGATACTTTTATGACTCATTTATCATTTTCACTGCAATCACAGGAATCATAATGTTACTAATGCAGAAAAACAAGTAGTTGTACTGAGCAAAATTTTGCAGTGTGATAGTAGAATATGATTTATGTTCAATAGAAAAGTAGATGAGGACAGATTTTTATTTTTCCTATTCCTTAACCAGCACCTTCTATACATCCAAAAATCCCCTATTGTAATAATGCTTCATCTTTCTCCCTGGAACACACAGTTGACATTACAAAACCACCAAAATAGCAGAAAATGACTGTCTCGTTGGCAAACATAGCTACATTTTACACTCACGTGCATGAACATTTGTTTACAAGACTTTTTATGTCTAAACATGTGTAATTAAGAGGCTTGGTTGAGGAACAGAGAAAATCTCTTAATTTTCTCTAAGGGCGCTCTAAGTGGAGCACAATTTACTGGCTTATTGCTTCAGACACAGAGAGAGGAGGGGGTTGTGAAAGTCAATGGACAAGGCCAATTCAAGGACTGGTAGAAAACAGAGCAGCTTTTCTCTTTATTGTCTAATTGGCTGCAGTTCAAGCATCTCAGACAGGAACAATAATTACTACGCCTGGGGCCTGACTTCCAATTACACACACATAGCTATACAAGCATAAATCTGGAATCTCCAATGCATTGGTGCTTTTCACTGTGTCTTCCTCTCTCTCTAACACACACAGACCCAGACACAAATATACAGATGCTGCTGGTTGTCACCACAGTGATGTCACTGTGGTGGGGCCCTATGGGAGTTGGCCCACGGGCTAAAACAGGGTGTGATTGTGGGCATTTATGGGGCGGCAGCTCAAAGACACTGAAGGCGTAAGGGGTTTTAGATATGAGTCAGAGGTGGTCATGGTACACAAACATGTCTGCACATTATTAGAGCAGGGTAGACAACTGTCGGAGATCACAGGAATAGGAGAAAGAAAACAGCTACTGACGCACTGAGATGTGAAATTTGACACGGTTATTAACAACCACATATACTGTGTTTGCACCCACAGAATTACACACGACTGTAGTCACTCCTACACATTATAAACCCACTTGATTTTTATACGCAAACCGACACATCTTGTCCCCCATCAAAGCAGTAGTGGGTAATCACTCACATTAGTGGCTAATTTAATTAGTTCAGTTAAAAGGTATTTTGTGACAAAAACAAGCTTTACAAGTAATTCAGGCAATCACAACATTATGGGTGTATAAATGGCTGTTTGTTTCACTCCTAGTGACAAAATCTGCAGTTCCTTTTTTTAATTAGTTTACACATGTGATAGTTACTTGAGTTTAGGCTGTTTGGCAGCCTAAGACCATAAGGGTCACCTGTAAAGTAGTCTCAGGCTCAGCCTCTGTACACTGACCGTCTGATGCATGTTGCTGGAAAATATTTTCTCAGTCTACAAAGCTTTGATGTGATGGCTGACTTAACGCAACTTCTGGAAGTAAGAACACAGGTTTTTTTTATTTTTTTTTATCAGACCGCCTGGAAACAAAATTGTGTTTACAAGGTACCAGGCTGATATAACAAGCACTTTGAACCAGCAGAATCACAAAGTGTACACATTTTTAGCTATTTTTGGTGTTTTCCACAATTATTTGTAGAGATTACTTTGTTTTTTTCATGTAGTATAAACTATTTTCCACCCTAAATAAACTCTTATATGTTTTTGTAGCGATTTGAAGAAATATTTTAGGTTCCCCAAAGATCCTGTCTTGAGAAAAGGTTTTAAAAGAACAATTTTTTTCTTAGTGTGAAGAGCATTTTAATAATCTTAAGAACACTTTTCCGCTATAAAGAACCTTTTGTGGAATGGAACTTAACGCAACTTCTGGAAGTAAGAACACAGGTTTTTTTTTATTTTTTTATCAGACCGCCTGGAAACAAAGTTGTGTTTACAAGGTACCAGGCTGATATAACAAGCACTTTGAACCAGCAGAATCACAAAGTGTACACATTTTTAGCTATTTTTGGTGTTTTCCACAATTATTTGTAGAGATTACTTTGTTTTTTTCATGTAGTATAAACTATTTTCCACCCTAAATAAACTCTTATATGTTTTTGTAGCGATTTGAAGAAATATTTTAGGTTCCCCAAAGATCCTGTCTTGAGAAAAGGTTTTAAAAGAACAATTTTTTTCTTAGTGTGAAGAGCATTTTAATAATCTTAAGAACACTTTTCCGCTATAAAGAACCTTTTGTGGAATGGAATGGTTCCATGAATGTATTGGAACCATTGATGCCCATGAAGAACCTTTATTTTTAATTGTAGCTTATAAAAATTAAACAGACAGTGGCTAGTCACTTTATATGTCAGTCAGACAGCTTTTCTTGTCTCTAGACAAGCAGTTCACAGACAGAATAAGCTGCAGTGTGGACCAGACCTTATGCTATCCAGTTGAGATCAGCTGTGTGTTTTATGTATGTCTAAACGTGTCACTATGTTTTTTTTGCAAGTATGATTAATACAGTACAGCAGCAGTTAATCTTGCTTTGTTATACAGACATCTTTGAGCATACCACATTGTATAATGTTTGCAGTCTGACTTAGCGTGATCTAAACACTAACATGTGTACAGTATATGTTTTTAGGCATCAGAAGAGGAGCCGCAGCAGCCTGTGAGTCTCTGCTGTCAGTGATAAGAGAAAGTCCAGAGACTTTCGATGAAAATTTGTTTCTGCTTTTGACAGAACTGTTCAACAGTTTTGGGTCAGTAAGATGTTTTGAAAGAAATTAATACTTTTATTTAGCAAGAATGCATATGTAGTATTTATCAATAGTAAAAACAAACAAAAAAAAAGACATAAATGCTGTTATTTGAGCACCAAATCAGCATATTGATTTCTGAAGGACCAGTTGTTGTCCGAAATCATAGTGGAGATTATCTGGTGCACTTATTCAATCCCATACTGCAAAAAGATCAACTAGTACCCATAATAATATATCAAATTTTGCTCTAAAGCCCTCTCTGGCTCACAATATTTGCATATTGCATATTTGCATATGTCCATGTAAGGAACAGTGAATGATGGAAAACAGGAAGATTTTAGACACAGCTGTGAAATTGGTGATGGTATGAGAGATCAGTTCATTTAAGCTCTTAAATCGGTCAGCAAAATATTTTTTCGTAATGTTACTGGTTACATTTAAGTTTTGACTTGAATTTACACTGTAAAATCCAATAGTTTACCTTACTTAGATTTAATTAGTTATCTTTACTTAGTTGTTATACTTACTTAGGTTACAGCTACTTTCAAGGCAAATAAAACAATTTACTTACTGTTTTGAGTGACACTTAAAATATTCAAGTAGCCACAAAGGAACCAACAGTGTTGGGAAGTAACTAGTTACATGTAATGGAATTACGTAATTTAATTACAAAATAAAAGTAACTGTAATCTTATTTAATTTCAAGGGAAGAAATGTATTAAATAGCTTGCTTTTAGAAGGTGAACTATCTTATTTAATCAGTAGTGTATTTTTTGTGTGTTTATTAATGAACTTTCACAAATTAAATTTTTCACAAATACTTTGAGATGCTTTTAATTGGGTTTATATAATCCTTAAGTAGTGTGTGGTAATATGCTGAAGTTACACACAGACTTAAACATTCAGCATGTGAATCACAACAAGGGGAAGTTGTGGCCTAATGGTTAGAGAGTCGGACTCAACCCAAAGGTTGCGAGTTCGAGTCTCAGGTCCAGCAGGGATTGTAGGTGGGGGGAGTGAATGTACAGCGCTCTCTTCCACCTTCAATACCACGACTGAGGTGCCCTTGAGCCAGGCACCGAACCCCCAACCGTGTCTGCAGTCATCTTTCACTGGTTGCATTCACTCGTTTCCCAAAGTCATCTTGAATGTTGAATTTGCAATACAACTGAAATATTTGAGAACATCACATAAGCTAACTTCATAAATTGATGTTGATTTTCCTAAAAAAAAAAAATTTTTTAACTCACCATTATAGTGATTAGCGTTCCCTTTGGTTGGGCACTTGGAACTTCATTTATGATACTATAATTTTCTTCATGTTAATGCAGCAATGCATCATAAAATCATAATTATTTAATTTCAAGGGAAGAAATGTATTAAATAGCTTGCTTTTAGAAGGTGAACTATCTTATTTAATCAGTAGTGTATTTTTTGTGTGTTTATTAATGAACTTTCACAAATTACATTTTTCACAAATACTTTGAGATGCTTTTAATTGGGTTTATATAATCCTTAAGTAGTGTGTGGTAATATGCTGAAGTTACACACAGACTTAAACCAATGGTAACAATTTAATTTATTTTCATTAATCGTAACAATAACCATTTTATTTGCTCTTTTTGTTGTGCTACTACTGACACAAGACAGCAAATAAAATTAGCAAATAAAATCAACAACTGTAAATCAAAGCAACTGCATAATTTATTCTGCCGCAATGCAC